TATTCATTCACCAGTGTGAATTCTAACCGAAACCATTATCAACAAAACGACGCATGCGCCACGTGCCGGGATTGAAGAGTTTCGTGTCCAAATGTACGATGTTCCAAGCATTTGCGAGTCCCAATGAAATTGACAACAATTGTTTATTGGTGAATCCACGTAGAAAATCACTTCCTTGACGGGGTCTCGCTCGATATGATCAGTTCGCACGTCTCAGAATATATCCCCTATTAAAAGATCTCTGTGTTTTCGAGTTTAGTGCTCATCTTTCCCACCGCTTTAATAATTGGACAGATGAAGTGACAAGTGCTACCAAGGGCTATCTGAGACCGGACTCCGAGATTTCAAGGAGCCCGGGACCTGTCGTGGGTGTCTCATTTCAGTAGTTGTTCCCTAACGACAATTTACGACCCACTGCCCGCAGTAAGATCGTTTCCACTTCGAAATAAGGGGTAGAAATGCCGCCTTTATGACCGCTGTGGATGGTGTAATGACCATTATTTATTGCCTAATCGTTGAATTGGTGCACAGGAAAAAGAGGCAAGGTTTTGACCGGCATTCGTTTCAGCCGCTGGGTGAGTATGGTGCATGTATAACTATAGAGTTACAAACCCATGCTCCATTAGTAAAACAAAAGTGTGTTTTCGCAAAAACAAGTATAACAATCTAACACTTCAACGTGGCTTAGCAGCGAAAAGGAGGAATGCATGTAAATATAAACATGTTTAAAAAACAGTTTGCGAGAAGCCCTTCTAACTTTCTTATCTTTTATTAACTTTTATTATCCCAAATATTATACATATAATATTATTCACAAGATGTGCAGCAGTCGGCTTAAATAATCTGCTGCACGTTCGGAACAATGCTTATGAATCGTATGCCGGGCGTATCTACCTATGTGGCCAGTATGTCCACCTAACTAGACAATAATAAACATTTCCATGGTTTTAGAGACCCAAATCTTATTGAAACATATTCCGGTATCACTATTAAAAAATAATGAAATCATAATTTTTTTTCTCTTTCTGTTCGCAAATGGTGGCCACAAGCACTAAGGTTGCTGGTTTGTTGTTTTTGGAATAACAATATTAACCAACACTTGGCAACAGTCATGCTGAATTGAGCAAGATCGTTCGTAATTGACAATGTACTACCCAGGGAGTTAGCATTAAATAAGCCTACTCACCAACTGCCTTACGGTCACACACAATTAATGGGATGAGTACACCCGTGTGCCGGGAACAAACGGCCAACAGTCGTATCATCCACCGGTAAGGTACAAGATTGCATCGATCGAAATGTGCCTCGATCCCCACCGGGTGTACGGAACAAAAAAACCTGTACAGTGACTCCAATCGGCTTTCGAGCACTCGATCGTCCGCGCCCCGCTGCCGTCGCGTCCCCTTACGAAGTCTCACTGCGCAGCCTTCTCGAGCTCAGCTCCCCGTCACCCCCTAAAACCAACCTCTCGATTGAAAGTTCCTGCGGCGACGGAACCAGGCAACGTGGACTTGTTTATGGCAGGGCGCATGCGCGTGAAGCTCATCATACCAAGTCGTCGCCCGTGGGAAGGGGGGGAAAAGACAAGAAAATGGCAAGCACAATGTTATCATGTACCGAAATCATTTCTGTGTTGTCGCCCGCGGCAGAATTTTCCTTAATGAATTCATCGATCCCTTCAAACGCTTTCCATTCTAATTAAAGCACCTATAGCCCGTATGTAGAGTCGGGGTCAATCTTTTGCCATTTATGGCACGACTGATTATGGCGCAACGAGATTTGATGAATGCACAGTGCGTTATTATTAGCGACGTCCTCTCGTTTGCACAAAAATCTTTCGCATTTTCTGCTCAACTCACGCGTGATGGATAGTGACCACACACGGAATAATGTGGGATATGGCAGAAACTTAATTCAGTAATAAAACCGGTATTTACACAGCAATATTTTTACTACAACCCTTGCAAATGCACTGGGCTTTGTGTATCAATTAATCCCGTGTTCAGGCTTTGTTTTATTTTAAAAGGTATTATCGAACCTTTCTCGTTTCGTGCTCAATGTGAATTTCCATTTCAACCGTAACACTGTGGTGTTATTCAAGGGATGAAATAACAATATTGTATTGATTTGTGCCAAAATTGCTCCATGTTTTTATATTTTTATGCCTTAAATGTTTTTCTTTTGTGATTCATTGTTTAAGTACATGACAGTTAGCCAACAAGCAACCCTTTTAAATGTTTTCAATGAGTAAATTTTGGGAAAACGGAGAAAGCTATAAACTGAGCGGTTCTTCCCTACATGACATCACAGCAACAGCGCCCTCAGTTGCGTATGCACAAATTCAATCTTCCTCTCCGAAAAATTCATCGCGTAGCCCTTAATCACTCGATACGTTACCGGGAGGATTCCCTCCTCCCCCCCACACACACACATTTAGTTTCTTATTTCCATCGAGCGATGAATGGCAAATCATTACACGAGTGCGTCAGTAACACCACTACGATGTTTTCCTAAATGTCAGCCATGTCACACATAATGAAACTTGCAAACAAGTGCAGTAACTGTCCTTGTGCTCAAGACCAACTACATTTCAGGCGTCTGCATTAAATTTTTTTTTTTCGGAAATAGTACAATGACAGAAATGGCGCACTGTTTCCGGCAACACATCACACGATGACCTCGCGCCACGCCGCCCTTTGCCCGCCATTCGGCAGCATCACTGTGAAGGACGAGTACGCTGATAGTGATCAAACCAATTACGAACGGAAACTCGGGACAACTCCACAAGGGCTAAGACTGGCTTATGGACAGAGGAAAAACACGATTAGAATGGTCAGCTGATGACACTGTTATCAAGTTCGGCGGTGGAATGCAAAGTGTATGTTCTGGCCGTGAGTTTATTGGTATTTTTATCCGGCGCTGATGTGAGGTCGAACATCGTTCTTGTTGATTTTGCTGGTGAAATATACCGAACGCTTCTCAAAATTTTAACACAGTAAATTCTTCTCTTGATTTTGTACTGAGGACCAGCGATACTTTATCGGCCACGAGGAGGCGAAAATACGACTGTGGCGTAGGAAGAGGAGAACCTTAAGTGACTTCATCATACAAGCGAACTCGCCACTAATGGCACATTTCCCTTAGATGAGCACTCAAGTTGCGCGTTACCTTCCGGTTCCATAGTTCCATGCAGATCTTTGTGCAGTGGGCGTGGTTTGAACTGAAGTGACGTCAGAGTTACGAGCCAGATGAAGCTTTTTTTCTATGCTGTTGTGGACCAAACAACGCAACACTCAAGCCCCATTTCTATGTCACAAGTGTGGAAGGCTTCGATTAAAACAACATGACACTGTTCCCGCAACAGCAGGGGGGGGGAATCTAATTGTTAGCTGCACGTCATGCAATCATCCCTGCAGAAAACGAATGTGATATCGGTTTATTGTGCCCCAGATGGAAATCTATCATCCTCGGACGTGGGCTGCCGGCCGGCAGCTGACAATCGTGACGACGAAAGGTCAATCCGTATGAAGGGGGAAAAGGATGGATTATAGAAGTCTGCTAATTGCAAAATTGCATTGAAATGACTGGGTAAGAGCTCTCCGCACCGGTACTTGATTTGGCAGCACCGATGGGCACATACAAACAAGCTAAAGGCAGGTATAGTCTCGCTTCGGCCGGGCGCGGGTGGTATAGTTGAGAGGTAATTAGTGAAAGACCGAGTGCTCATTTTAGAGTCGTCGTTTCGGGGACAGTGATTAATCTACAGTGAAAGAAAAGCAAATTCCTAAAAGGCAAACAACCGGAATGGAGGCTGTGTCCACTCTGACATCTTCGCTTGCAGGTCGCTGTCGTCCTCCGTGTGCTACGTGATTATCACCGCCTTTCGGATGACATTTCACGAAAGGAAAAGGTCTACTTCAGCTCCAGATTTGCAGAAACAATGCCAGGATCGGAGGGAAGCGCAGAAAATGGCTGCTTGGATGTGAAATGACGGCCGTGTCCGAATAAATTGGCTACGACTTAAAATTAAACACAACTTTAAGGAAGGTGGCTACAGCCACAACTACAGACTCGTGCGTAAGTCCAAGCCGCCGCAAATAATTCCAGCAAAGTCATGCGGGCCTATGTAATGGAAGTATAGAACGAATTCCTCACAGTGGAAAACAGCCAGAATTTACACAGAATGAAAGTGTTGATTTCATGAAAAAACTTATGATACAAAAGACAAAACAAAACAATATCTATGCAAAGAAATGATTATTTGTCGCTGATATTTATATATCAACCAGCAAGTAAATGGAGTTTTTACCCGGTTGCAAATATTGTCACTACATTGACTCCTAAAAAAACTACTTCCAGAACTGTAAGGTTTATACAACCTACAAATAACTATGTACAATCTTGCATAAACACATTTGGCTCTTTCGACCGTGCCAACTTACTCTGCCATCACAGCTATTTGTGCAACCAAATTTCATACGTGCCATCTTGGTGAAATTAGATGTCGGACAGGGAGGTTTATTCACCTTATATCCTCTTTAAAATGGTGAAATTCTTGAGCATTTTGCCATCCACGCTACAGAAAATCAGCAGCAACTTAGAATCGCTGTTCAGCTGCATGAAAGCTTGACAAATGGCAACAGATCTCCTATCTTTCCCTCCTTGTCTTCCTGTCACCAACAGATGAAAGCCACTCTGTGATTGATCCAATTTGCTTCCGTTCCAATGGCCAAATCGTAGCTTGGCTTTCATTTGGATGGGGTCAGGAAAAACGAGAAGGCATTGTGTCGCACAACTATCTGTGATGGCAGAGTGAGTTGGTACAATCGAAACAGCCACAATTTGTTTGTGCTCGTTTGTACATAGCTATATCAGCGAGGTGTGTATAAATCTTACAGTTCTGGAGGTACCTGAAAACAGTGCCATCACTTTAACATCAGATTGAACTTTTAAAAAAGTGCTCTCGCTGGAGAAATTGAATTAGACGGGTGGAAACTTACCTATGACGACAACACAGGTAAAACATCCATATTCTAGTTCTTGTTCATGTGGAAGCATTGTGTCGAAGCCTTGCATGCATTCTAGTGCTTTAACCGATGGTGGAACCGAAATGTGCGCTCATCGCCTGGTTATTTCATTCGAGTGGTTGTCACAGACCCCAGAGTCAGCCTGGCAGATAACATCCTCCCGGGAACAAAGACGTGTTGACGGACAGGCTAGCGACGGTGCACCTTGGCCTGCGATTTTTTTTGTTTTTGCAGAATGCCCGCCAATATGGGTAAATGCCAAGTTTGAACTAGGTCAGATCACGGAAGAGAAAGATACTCAGGACCCGCAGTTATGTGTGTCCTTTCTGATGCAAATGAAATTGTGGCTTGGGCGGGATTAGAATTGTGATACCACACTTTCGTATAAAGGCTAGATAACCTCATTTGATGGTTCTCGAAAGTGGACTGGTCGTTCCTTTTTTAAAATTAATCACTTCAGAATGCGTATTTATCACCTGTCTAATTAAGTAGACCCATTATTTTATTACAGGATATCTGGCTCTCACCGGACACTTGTCCAAAGCTGTAAGATTGCGGGGAACTAGCTAATTTGATGTCGATTCCTCGCGCAACATCGAGACAAATATGTTCATGATGCATTTTCGTTTTTGGGAAGTTCGAGGGAAAAACACCTCAAAATCTGCTCTTTCTTCCCCTCACCACGAAAACGTGGGGGCTTATCGAAATAGCCCCCGACCAGGAAGTGAGAGGATAATATACCCCCCTCCCCATCAACGCCTTTGAATTGATACCTAAACTAAAGACGTCATTCTGACAACTGCTAAACCGTGGGAAACGGCGTAAATTCCTACTCAAAACCTAGGTCTGTTTGCTTTGAAAAGAGAGTTGGAGATGCTTCTTGCAGAGGTCTAGGACTCACTTCGCAAGTGTAGCTTACTGTAGTAATCCCAGAGCGATAAATGTCGTGTGAGCGGGGGCGATGTGTCCAGCAAAAAGCAATTTTTTTTGTTGGCAAATCCACTTGACGCGGGTACGTGACTCCATTTGGGGCTGCCAAATGAGGGCGCTCTGACAATGACAAAACATTGACAGTAACGTTTGCGTGCGAATGACAGACGCATTACAGAGCGAAGAACTCCCCGAAAGTACTCACCTTTTCAAGCACTTATATGGTAAGTTGTTTGAATAATCATGTAACTTTTGTTAGAATCGCTGTATTCCAGCTTTAATGGTTGCTAGTTGCGGTGAAATATAAAGTGGTTCCAGTATTTTGGGGTCGTTAATTGCGTTACCTCTATCACTTTCGGAGCATGGTAAAATACCTTTACCATTTATGACATGGTCCTAGCTGTTGCGTGGGTGTGGGCGGAAAGATGTTATGCTCTGATACACGCACCTTGAAAGGTCAGGAATCTGAGGAAAAATGCTCTGATTCAGAATATTAATTATAAAACACATGGCAAAGGAGGTTTTTTCGAGAAAGGTTCATGATTTGGAAGGGTCTAGGGCCTGCCGTGGGTAACAGTTCTACGCTTTCAAGACCAAGTTCCAGCATGTCCAGTCATGTGGGATCTGCATTGTTGGTTGATCATGTTACTCTGGCCATCTGTCCTGCATGAAGTTTCACTCTTTAAAATCATGAGTAAGAAAAGTTGATTAACTGACCAACTGAAAAAAACACCTAGTTCCTGATAATCTGAGGTAGCTCCTCTTTTACGATTCTGATCTTCCTTTTGTCCTTCTAACGTTTCTACTGTTTGGTAATTCCAATTTTCCTTACATTTCAGTCTGTTGGTTCATCTTTGTTTTGTCTTTGTCTTGTTTTGACTGTATTGTATTGCAGTTGTCTTTTTTTCATGTATAATTTGTTGTCAGCCTTCCTTGTCTGGTTCTTTTTGTTGTCTTAATAAGGTATTTCTATATAAGACTTTGTCCTCTCAATATGCCTCCCTATTTGCCCCCTTTTATTTCAATGTCTCATTGTCTGATTTAACTTTCACTCTTGTAGTCATAAATCTTTCATTCATTGACCTTGTGTATAACTTAATATATACCTTGCGAAAGGAAATAAATGTTGAGACCAAAAAAAAGTTTTTAGACAGAATTGATTGAAAGCGCAGCCTGTCGCCCACTTTGTTACATGGCCTATGTCCAAGAAATAAAATCGGACCGTGCACAAACGAATGACCGATGTTGGATTCTCGGTAATAGTGTTAATAACATGGACTAAGGTTCCATTGTGCCATGTTAATGCCACAGGTTTGTCTCCTGCTGCCTTGGGGTAATCCAATAAATGGCCAGCAGACCACTTCACGGTAGTCCGCAACCCACTGGTCACAGCTACCACTCCCTGAGTGAGGCCGGCCGCTCTCGTCGGCCGGCCTCCCTGACGGGCAGCAGCGGGCCGGCATCCCACCAGCAGATGGGCAACCCTCTGTTGCACCACCAACACCAGAGAATGCAACCAGGTAGGCTAGATTCTTGGCTTAAATAAGGGAATAAAAATGTGATTGACCGGTTTAAATGTGCGTTCAACACCAGCTCAGGAGAATGGACGTGACTATGCCCGGGCCAAGTACCCCCAGAACTGTGGAGTCCAACGTCCACCCGGCTCCCACAAACCCCACAGAATGAGGGCCCTTCATTATTTATGCCCAAATGGCAAGAGCAACAAGCAACAGGCGTTGGGTCCGAGTGCACGTTGAGCACGCCGTAGCAGTGTGAACAATGTCTGTGGAGCAAGTGCCATCTCGCATGTGGCTCGCAGCGCTCTTCGGTGCAACGCACGTTCACGTACACTCGGACCCAACGGCTGTTGCCTGCCGTTCCTGCCATTTGGGCATAAATACTGAGGAGCCCTGTGATTGATCAGTGTGACCCCCCAGCGCCCCGCAGCCAACTGTCATGTCAACCAGTCTGTCCTGTCACGGCTAAGAATGACACACACATGTATGGAAAGTGGCAGCAGCCAATTTCCATATCCTGTGTATCGATCGCAGCCGTAGTCAACCGTTTGGTCGCGGGTTGTCTTCACAAGTACACATGTGAACCACCTAACTTTTGGACAATGATTGGGAAATATTTGCACCTTTTTTTAAAAATCGGCATGGTTTTGGCCCATGTATTTCTTGGTACAAAGTACAAAGGTATACAAGCCATCATACATAGAATGGGGGGAGGGGAATGGAGCAGCATTTCTAGGGGTACACAACCACCACAAAGTCCCTTTTCATGCCCTGTTAAAAGTCATGTAGAGCCTGTGGTGAAAAAGGCTTATTTTCTGTAGGGTTCGTGGGAGTGGGGTGGACGTCAGACCCCACGGTTCTGGGGGGTACCCGCCAAGCACATATATTTATTCCCATTCTTAATTCCATTTTTTAGTGTCAAAGAAGTCAGTATATGATAACTTTCAAATGATTTTGTTCTAGAATCTTATTTCCATTTTCCCGAACACCTCCATTCATTTTATGGTATATTCCTTGCGCAAGTTTCTCGGAAGAGTCTCCATATATGGACTTGGCATTCATGTCGCACGTTCTGCGTATTGTGTCGCATGCAGACTCTTGACCAACTGGGATGGCTCAAGCTGTCTTGTGTCCAGGTGCCAGAGCGTTTTTTCATGCAGCATGCATTCTTAAACCCCAGCGGGCATTGTCGAATGTTAATACACGGCCACCTTGCCCGTTGTTGAATAGGAAAACTGTCTGAGGTGTTAATGAATACAGTTTCATGAGAATGTGGCGGCAGCCGTCTTTGGAGGCCCCCAAAAATGGTGGCTTCATTTGTTGGTGTCCGGCTATGGGCGTGCAAGCAAACTAGTTAGCAGACAGAGCTCAGTGGGTCACATTTTCACCAATGCATAGTCTGTCATTGTTTTACATTCAGATTGATAACAGTTACCACCAAGAGACAATGAAGCATTCATTCTTACGAAAGAGTTCATTTTTTTCTTGAAAATGGTGCTAAGAATTCAGTGTTTGGCCTTCACATCAACATCAACAAGTTTGAAAGAGGCCACCTGTGAGTTTTATTTTCAAACCTTGTTCAGTTCTAATTGGAAACGGCAAGAGCACTGCATCTGACCCCTTGCATAAATTTGAAATTGTCGAGACTGCACTTTTTTCCAAAACTTTCTTATGAACGTGTATTTAGTTTTGGGGGGTTGCATTAATTTTAGAAAAGATAGGGTACCGAGTGCTGTGTGCTCTGATATATTTTAAAACAACTGTGTGGGATTTCTGTTTTGACAGGGAGTAGGCACAGTCTCAGTGGCCCCTCGGTGCCCTCCCCACCAGTCCCTGTCACCTCCTCTCACTCCAAGCACCCTCCGTCTGTCCGGGAACAGAGATTCAGCGTGGGGGGCATAGGCCATGGGGTGCCCACCGTGTCCCAGTCGTACCATGCCCAGCAGCAGCCACCGCAGCAGCCGGGGGCGTGGTCCATGCCCAAAATGAGGCACATCGGCGGGCCGGCCAGCCAGAGCACCCCGGCCGAGCAGACAAAGAAGTCTAAGGTAGACAGCCACACTCCGAATCGGCCGGCTGTGGCTGGGAGTAACCTGTGCATCGGTGGGATGTGGTCGTAGCCACTAGCTTGCAGCTCCCCTGGGCACGCGTGTTACTTTCAGCCACAGTGACCAGCCCGTGTCTCAGGCAGCATTTCTTCACTGACCCGATGCAGAGGAAATGCAGGCAGGCCAAAGTGGTTGCAGGGATGTGTGGAGTGTTCTAATATTTGAGCCTTGAAGCTTTCCACAGTGAAGGTGGCAAGTAAAGTAAAGAGGTTTGCAGTTGCACCGTACGAGGACATCTCTTTTGTATGCGTGCTTCTGAAAAGAATCAGAGGGTACCCAACGTTTTGGCCCAGTCTCCAGTCTCCAGCCAATCTCCTGAGGACAGACAGAGCATACAGTCTGAAACATTGGTCAAGTTTGGGTGGCATGGTTCTTGGAACAGGATCACACACCTTGTCAAGGTTTTACAGGAACACACGGAAAAACTCGTGAGATTTTGATTTTTGAACAGCTACAAAAAGTAGAGAGATGACTTCCAAAGCCAGAGACACTGGGAAGTTCTGAAAAATTAACATTAATTATTTTCCACAACAAAGAAATGAATGTTCCTGTTTAAATAGAAAAGAATTCAGCCCAGTTATCCAAACATAAACTCTTGAATAACGTACATGGACGCCGCCATGTTGCTTGCCACTAACTACCAGCAATAACAGGTTGTTTGTTCCCGGCGTTCGAGCAACCAACCCATGAACAACAAATCCAGCTGTTCGTGAACATACAGAACAAGCCGCCCGAACCCCTTCATTGAGTACCCTCCAGCTCTTTCCAGAACCACCCATACTCACTAAAGAGATATCCTCGTACGGTGCTACCGCACACCTTTTACTTATTCGAAGATTTATTTGGACATCGAGTAGGGCTGGGTCACAATACTTTTGGCACTAAGCCTCCATTAGAGGGCTCAAATGAACAGAGGTGAGCACTGCATTGTGGGAAAATGTCGCCATCGTGCAACTCCAGTACACTGCTCTAAATCATCGTCCATTGCCCGTGCTTCCATGGAGTGAATTGAACTCTATCCTGCTTGTCACTGCACAGAATGCATCATGTAGTTCATGCTGTCGACCTGTGCGCTGGAGGTAGGCCTTTATGGGGAGAAACACCCAGGCCGCAGTGTTGTAAATTGCCCCTGTTAACCGTCCTATGCTGAAGTCACTCTTTGGGTCAATTGGTAAACACCTC